CCTGAATTTCTGAACAAGTCGACCGGGACCCCTAAGGCTCCGGGCCCCGGTTCGCCCGCTTAACCGGGCGTCATTTCAGGTTCATTCGGGTTCCTTCTGAACCCTGAATTTCTGAACACCCTGACCGGGACCCCTAGGGCCCTCGGCGCCGGGGGAAAGCGGTACCGGGGCTTCATTTCAGGTACATTCGGGTTCCTTCTGAACCCTGAATTTCTGAACAAACGGGACCGGGTCGGGCTATATAAGACCACGTATATACCGTATAGCTTATAGCCATGTAAATGAACTTTGAAAGTGCCTTATAGGTGCTGAAATTGATGTCTATTAGATGTCCTGAATCTGGAATTCTTGGCCGCCATTGACGTTATATCAGGTGATCGGCTGGGACCGCTAGAACAGACAGTGTGGGTCCCTACATGGTTATAAACATGGTTAAAACACGGAAAAACACGAAAAAAATGGTTAAAACATGTTTTTTGGTTTAAACATGTTTTAACCATGTTTTAAACAATAAACATCTTTGTTTATAATGTTTATTGCACTCAAAAAATCGTGGCTTCGCCCGATCACATGTACAAACATCATTTGATGTTTTAAACATGTTTGTCAATGTTTTTAAAACCCTAGGGGGGGCAGATTTTAAAACCAAGTATGTTTTTGGAATGCTCTCAACGAGCTCGTTTCGAAAACAATAATGAATATGTTAGTATATGCAGCAATAGCGAAATAAACATTGTTTCATCTCAAAAACATTGCTCGGGTTTAAGACCCTAGTTGCCTACCCGGGATATGAAGTTGTATTGCTACGAATGAACACTAACCGCGTCAACGGGAGGGGAGGAAGGCCCGGGGCCTCCTACCCATGGTCTCAGACAGGGTTGCTTCAGAAGAAGTCACAGCCGGGCTGACTAAGTCATAAGCAAAACTCCCCCTCCACTCGTGATCAGTGGGGTTCGCTAGGGAAGCTGACTACGGGCTAAGCCAGGGGACCGGCTGCTTGCTGAAGACTTGGTTGTGCTTGTTTGTGTCCCGTTTGTGTGCCAGGAGTCCGACGACCAGAAAGAGTCACGCGGGGCCGCCTGCAGAAGAAAACGGAGAAACCCGGGGCATGCAATCTGTCCGCACTTACTTGCCAACCCAAATTTAGTCCCAAGCATGACTCAGTCCGGACGACCATGCCTTTGATCCATGGCACGAACCATTAAAAACTCTTCGAGGGTCCTTATTGGCTATTGTCATGGCCCGCCTTTTTCCAAAGAGAAAAGGTATACGCGTAATGGAAGACATATTGTGGACCGCCTGCTGATTGGTATTCAATGGGTCAGCCAGAGTTAGTAAACTTGAATATGTGGAAGGGGCCATCATTTTCGTCTTATGAGCATATTTGTAACTTCGTGCACAAACACTTCCACTTAAAAGGCCTGCAGCTTTAATGCATGCATTAACGATCGCCATGTGTGCACAGTGAGCACATTTGAGAGGCCCGGACTCCGGGATTCTGTATTTTTTGTCGTTTTTGGGCAGCTTTTGCTCAAAGAGTCCGATATACTTTTGAAATGAGAATCCGTTGTCCACAGTGGGATCGAGATGCAAGGATTATGCTTTTTGTGCAAGTTCAAGGCTCTTTGCATTTAATCGTCAGAAAACGGCTGACACTGTAATGTTGATATTCTGTGCAGTATATCGGATGCTCATGTGAGTATGCATGTCGATCTGACGTTGAAATTATGGAAATCCGTCGAGCTGGCCTCAGTGCCCGGCCATGCCATGCTATAGCGCTAACTAGCCTTACTGAGTACCGATTCCGTGCTGCCATCCGGCCTGGGTCGAGTTGTCTTGTGAGACCAAGCATTCCGTTCAAGAAGCTTGTTTCGCGGAGCTTATCGAAGCTTATGTACGCCTTATTTGGCTAAGGTACGCGCGCAACGCACAAACGAGTCCACACCGCCATATTGACTTCATATCGATCAGGCAGCTCGTTGGATATCAACTTGCCATCAGCCGGCGGCAGGATTCCGCAGCTTGCGGAATATGTTGTTCCACTTAATCCACCTAGCTTTAATCCCGGGCCCTAGATCTGGCTGAGGTAGCTTCGATTTGATATGTACATAACATTGATACGCCATATACGAGCGGCGGCCCATATTGCATGTGAATATTGACAGAGATCCGTTGCGACCGGGAAGGCCGAACTTTGACGTAGTCTGAAAAGAATCTACAAGTGTGTATGACTTAAGCTTGCAGGCTCGACTGATCGGCAAACGGCCTGTGGCTTCTATGTTGATTGCTAGACGCCTCTGCGAAGAGCTCAATGTTCAAGCTCCTTGGCCCACGAGCTTAAGCTGTAACTCCTCTGCTCGGGTTGTGGGCTCTCTTTCTGGCCCTTTTTACACCGCTGCTTGTTTGACCACCTGGAAACTCGCTACTTTCACCTTAAACCGTTTCCTTTACTGTTCCGGCTGCATGCCCTCCGTTCTGCCAGTGATCTCTAACTTTCCGACGAAGTACACAATGTCTTTATACGCCCTATCCTAGCCCCCGCATGTCTTCCTAAGTCACGCTCGTCTTTTCAATTACGTCTCTGTACATTTCCTCTTTTTGCTCTTTTGTCGTTCCTTCCAAGTTACGTTCCCGAACCCATAGCTATCTGCACTTTATACAAGATACCATCGTATTGGTCCTGGCGCCGCTTATTGTCCCGCCAGACGGCCACGCTAGCTCACGACGTTTCCTCAATTCGACCCGACCATCTATTCCACCAGTCCTTTCCTTCCTTCTACCGCCATCGAGCGCCCTCACATTCAAACACCCGAGACTGGAGCCCGAACCTACTATTCTAAACAGAATAGCCAAAGTGACCAAAGCCCAGACAAAAATTGCTCCACTCTGGCAGAATTCCCCTTTACTCTTTGCCGGACGCCCGCGGGCGCCGCTTCCGAGCCGCACGACCGACTGTCCGCACTTACCTTTCCGTCTCCCCCTCGTTTTCTCCGCCGATACCACCCCCCCGGTAGGCACACATTCACCGTTAGAACCATTTCGGCGCCCGCAACAAGCATCCAAATCATACAGCCAAACGTCCGCATCCACTTTATCCCCCTCCATTAACCCGATCGCCGATTTTCACCCCCACCAGCCATCTCCATAATTCAGAGCTCTTCCGAGCACCCACGCCGCACCACTTCGCACCATCGGACGTCCCCACCCACACCTGCTCCGCCCCCCCCTCATCTTCCCGCCCTTCCCTCCGCCATTTCCCCCTTTCCTCATGCGTCTTTCTTTCGGACGCCCGTAGGCGCCGTTTCGTACAGCCGGACGTCCGCGCTCGTGCCGTACTTAATGCGCAGCGCCTCTTTGCACCAGCCGTGGCCCACGTCAACCGATGGCAGCTTTACCACCAGCGGCTCCGGGAGAGGGCCCGGGGGATCCTCGTAGTCCCCGGGGGGCATCTCCACGCGCGCGTGCGCGCGCAGCGCGTCGCCCGCGTCGACGTCGAGGCACACCTGCGAGAGGAAAAGGTTTGATTGAGTGAGAAGAAGGAGCGGTTGCGTAAAATCTGCCTCTGGGTTGCTTTTGAAGGGGCTAGAATAGCTCAAATGGTTCTCAGAGACGCGATTTGAGTTGGTGTGAAACCGAGCCGATCAAAAGCTCTGCCGACGCTGCACAGTCACGGACGGACGTTGATCCAGAACATGTTCAGGAGGTCAGAAGCTTGCATTCAGCACTAGTAGAGTATCTATGTGCTTGCTGAAGGAGTAACGCCCATGCCAAGATTAATGGCACGCTGAGGATCTTTGCACGCACAGTAGCTAGAATGACTGCCACCAGAACAAAGGCTTGACAGAGCACAATTTCACGCGCTTCTCGATTTACGCCGCCGCTTCGATGTGGCTCGTGTCAGCGGCCAAGAGAGCGCCCGGGCGCGCGAGAACGGTGCACGAAACGCTTCTGCGCTAGTAAGTGAGCGCGCGCAGAAAGTGGCTGGGCACGCTAGCCCTGAGACGCGCGCGCGCCGAGATGCGCTCGATCTGACCCGGAAAGGTGAAAGAGCGCCGTTCAATGCTCACAATGATCTTGAAGAAGCGCGCCACGGGCGCGGAAAACCGCGGCGGACCGTTTGAACGCCCGGGGAAAGCGCGCGCTGACCTTAAACGTGCGCGCTAAGATGCGCTTGTTTGTTAGGCGAATGAGAAATGTGGCTCACGATGATTTTGGGGAAGCCCGCACGCGCGCGCGGGAGGGGCGCGACCTGGAGGCAGCCCAGGAAGACGTTTTGCTCCACCACGGGCTGCTCGCCCTCGTAGAACTGCGCGAGCGAACGTGACGTCAGCAAACGTCTCCGTAAAATCTGAATTGGCATCTCGACGAATCGCCGAGGGAGACCTTCTACACATGCATGATCGGCTGTTAATTCTTGTACGCGTCTGTAACGGAACGTGGCAAAACGTGACGTCTACAGTTTTGAACCATGTTGTCAAAGGCGGTTCTGCGGGACCACAGTTTGCTCGCGGCTTTTACACAAGAGCGGAATCTCTTTGTCAGGTTAGCATTCGTGGAAAAGGAAAGGTCAAGCCAAACTGTTGGTTCAGGACAATCAAGAAAACAAACGCCGGATGCGAAAGTCGAGCCAGCGTCTCTGTAGATCTAGCTGCATGGACCAGATGAAGTACTCATCATCCATCAACAAAAGGACTAATCATGGAAAGCCGCTGCCTGTTCGTTCAAAGAAAGCATAGTCTTGAGCAGAATTATCATATGAAAGGGAACGAGAGCACGGGAAAAGGCATGGACGACGGAGGGAGCAGAAAGTGCTGACCTGGATGATGGCCTGTTCCTGGTTGTCTTTGATTGTGGTGAAGATGAGCTCACGGGACGTTGGGATGAGCGCGTTCCTGTGCAAAAGACCGTGAGAACACTGTGCACTTCGCAAGCTTTTGAGAATTGAAAACTACGATACTCGCAAAATACTCGGATGAAGCCCTCGTTGTCTTAATGGGACAGAGACCACAAAACGACTATGCTTTCCAAGGGGCTGGTTTCGTAGCGGATCTAATTTTCGAGACATCATTCTCCTCGAAGCGACAAGAGATCTGCGCAAGTGAAGGATTCTTACCGGGAGAGAATGGGCTGGAACACGTCGCCTTCCACTTTGATGCCCAGCGGGTGGTTGATCCCCTGCAAGGGTTAGAAAGTGTCAGACACGATCTCACAAACCAGTGCTGCCTTTGCGCTTCTTCAGGTCGCAAGTCTATGGGTGTCCTTAGAGCGCACTCGGATGCTTTCGAGAAGCAGGTGTTCTCAGATCTACAATGAACCAGGCGATAGTCCTAACAAAACGGTGTTCTAAGCTTTCCAGAGGCTTCCACTTGGACGTACGATCGACTTAGCGGGATACTCAAAACACAACGTGTAGGACTCTGTCCTTCCAGAAGCTTCGAAAAAGAAAAGGGGCGTAATCAATCACACAACCGCCAAGTTTCAATCAGCTTGCAGTGAGGGAATTCAGCTCTGCCATTGATTACTACCAGTAACGGCATACTTTATGATGACATTTTTCGGCTTTTAAGACTATTCTTGCCAGAGAGACCTGAATGACCAAAATGGCAACGGATCCGGCATTCAAGATCTGTATCCGAGTTTAGCGGCTTGCAAAGGGCGTCCTATCTCTTATGCACTTCATACCATTTGGCTTCAGACAGCTAGAGGACGTGAGTGAGCCTACCACTCAATACGCGCTTTGTCTTCACTGCTCATCACCACTGGCAGGAACCAAGCCATGTTTATTGGATACGTCACGTGGGAAGGGCAAACAGGTTGATACATAGACCCTGTTGCTCTGCAAGCCATAATGTAGACTCGTTCATACACCGCGATCCAGGCTGAAGACAGGAGCCTTCGGTAAGATCCGTTTGAGTTGCTTCGCGGCTTTGACTAGCCTGAGGAAAACGTGCAAAGCGGCTGGTGACCTTCAGATTACATTTTTAAATCTTCAGAGCGAGGTATAGTTGCTGCAGATCTTGATTCTCACCATTGGCAATGATCGATTCGGAACAAGCTTCCAAAAGAAAGAAACCCTGGAAAAACAGTGGCGTTTCGCAAAAGCAGGAAAACCAGCAATTGGAATTTCACCACAAGCAAACCTGTGCGGACAGCCGGATAGGATTGTACTTTAATAGTGCTGATCACTTTGGCAAGGTGACGGCGTTCACTGTGCTCCAGTGGACTTCACCCGAAAGAAAACGTGCGGACAGCCTGATTAGACGCAAGCCAAGAGTGCTCATCATATCCAAAGTGACGGCGTCGACTGTGCTCCAATGGTACGGCCAGAGACATTCCCGGCCACGATGAGTAGAGTCTCGCGTGGATGCACTCAAAAGCAGAACGGCAGTGCCTGTCAGAGCATTCATATCATTAACACGACACCAGAACAATTCGACCCAAGATCTAACGTCACCACATACTGGCAAATCCCTGGTTTTGAAGAGCGTACAAGGTGTCCTGAATTGCGGCAATCCTGCTCCTAATCCACACTGAACTCAAGAGGTGTGGTTTCAATCCTGATCCAGTGGTCTCGTCATCGCCTTACCAGTAATCCTGACTCTGGACTGTAGATAAAGCTCATTCACCCCAAAGACGGGATGGAAGCACGAGGGCCAAGGCTTTGCAACCAAAGACGTGCTTAGTCAGAATATGCTGGAAAGCTTAATTCGTATCTCGTGCTGAAGAGACCCTTTGTGAAAGTGCTAAGCAGAAGCCGCCTTCCACCAACACCCACGTCACAACTTTCAGCTTCTCTGAATATACATCAACACGACTTCAGTCGCGTCATAGCACGACCCCTGGGCTGTCTTGAGTCTTGCGACAGTCAGTAACGGTCAATCCTTCGCTGAATTCTTTCGCTGCGAGTTTCGCAGCCGTAGGCGATTTTGATTCCGCTGTAAGTACGTGCTTGAGATGTGACGTGCCGAGAGGCCAAAAGTGAATGGTGGGCAGCCGTGAAGGTCTTGAAGCGCTGCCCTCAAAGCCTTCTATGATTTGGTTGCCGATTTGCCAGGTGGAAGCAAGGCTCTTCCAAACATAATCAGAGGGCGCTCCAAAGGCAAGCACTCTTCGAAGGTGAAGGATACGTTCTGTTGAGAGTCTGTACTCAAGGCTCAAGACGAGAGCGGCATCCATCGGAGAACACATGGGAGTTGGATAGGCATATCCAACCCAACCTGCTTCCTGTCATAGCCACCTCCGATGAGCATACAACACGCACGGCAGTCTTCGAGAAGTAAATCCGTTGAACCGTTTTAAGATTTTGCACGTTTTGAGACGGGGGCCAGAGAAACGCAATTTGCCCGTGTAGTACATTCGATAGAGGGACTTGAATAAACGGTTTGAAAGCTTCATCCACGGGTCTAATGAAGAGCGGACTTTAAGGTTCATGGGGCTCTTTTAAACATGTTGGCGGAAAGCAGAAAGAAACGTCAATACATGAGTGGTGAACGCTGGTTGTCCAATGCCTACGAAAGAGAATCAGATACACATCAAGACGGCGTCGGGTCATCTTCCAGCTGAAACGACCAAGCATGGGTTTAGCTCAAGACGGTGTCTCTCCCCATTGCCACCACAAGATTGAAAAAGTGAGGAAAGCTCAACATTGGTGCAGAATCGTGCGTACGTTAATTACTCGGATGCTAGGGACCGGTTTCTTGGAACGACTATGTATAACCCTGCGTCCTCGGTCCTACGCGCTCGTGCAGATGAATGATCAAGAAGGCCTCAAACGACATGGGCAGCCTTCAAAAACGCTACCGTTTCCGCTATAAGAGCAGCCACTTCGTCAAACGTGGTCTTGACGTGGATTGCGGCCCATCATCGACTCAAGACCGGTGACGCTCTGAGAACGTCACGTGCATCTAGATCTTCGAAGTTGGTCCATCAGCCAGCGCCGCTACGACCAACAGCGGGCCAGCAAATAGCGGTCTTATAAGCAATGCCGCCTACATACAGACAGTGCAGGATCAGGTCGACGCCAAATACCCAACGCTTTAAAAACGCACTCTTTTTCCAAGAATGATTCCAGGGCGGTCAGAAGTCGGAAGACCTTGCGAAAATATGGAAGGCGTTCTGCCCAGAACCGATCAAGTTTGCGGTGAAGGCTGACGAAGATGACGATACGCCCAGAATCACATCCCGACCCAATGCAGAGAAAGCTCGCATGGGCTGACAAACCCAAGCGTGCTTCTTTTGTCATAGTCACCGTCGGTGAGCACACAGGATCCCAGCGGTCGCTGTTCCGGCCTTCACAGTGAACCCACGAAACTTTGAGGTTGGGCCGATTGAGTTTTTGCGAAAAAATTGGTAGAATAGTTGAATTCGTAAGCTTCGTTCACGGATCAGAACATCAGAGTGAGACAGCCAGCGACAAAGTCGAACGGAATCCATTCTACCAAAAGAGCGTCGCAGAGAAGCCAGCCTACGGTTTTAAACCTGACATACGGGCCGCTTTTAACTGATTCCTAAGAACGTACAAGCAAGGGTCAGGTTTTAGATTGAAGTGGCCTTCGTACCTGTTTGTGCCCAGACAGCGCCGATGAGCATGTAGTGTTACTGGTGTCCATTCTCACCACCAGTCATCCAGGCTCATAAAAAGAGATAATCTAACACTCTTTTTAAGCCGTCAGCAAGTCTCTTCGAACTGCACGAAGCAACCTCTCGGAGCCTCAACGCCAGCAACGCTTGTGCAAACCCAAAAATAAAATAGTTCCCATCCGCGAAGGGCGGTCTTGAAGCGCGATTCACATCTTACCACGTAGAGCAGTTGTGCAGTCGCCTTCCTGAAAGTTGGTTGTGAAAAGTTGCACTCAACTTCGGCTCTCATCACCACAAAGATGCGTGCGGACAGCGTTGAATGGCTTTTTCTTTGAACTGCATCATCGTTGTCAAGGCGACAGTGATGGCTGTGCTGCAAACGAACGGTCAAAAACAGTACCGGCCGCGCCTCGGCTAAGTTTCAGAGATGAACGGGGGAAACGCATTTGCAAGTAGAACCACCATACGGTAAGAACTGGCACCAGCTGAAGTACTCACAGACCAAGGACATGAATTTCAAGGAGAGTTTGATACACTCTGCAAGGAGCTTCTCATCGATCATCGCGAGACCTCACGAGACCATCCCCAAGCGGACGGCCTTGCTGAACGAACGGTTCAAACAACAAAGCCAACGCAAGACGTTCCTCCTATTTCCGAGGTCTTTTTTGCAGGCACAAATTGCTGTTCGAGCAGAGCTGTTCCTGTCTCGACCGTGGCAGGCGCTGGAGACCGAAATTATCATTTGGATTTCTGGTAGCCCCAGCGTTTTCGTCTCGTCATGGCCAATGTACTCCCGACGATGGACGGCTAAATTGAATGCGTGGACAACCTAGTAGTTTCCAGAGCGCCCCAAATATCTGACACAACCGTTGGGTCCTCCTTTCTTCATTTCCAGACCGCCCCAAAAAACACAGCCGGACGCCCAAGCCGTGGCCCCAAAACCGCCGTTCTCAACGCCCTGGCTATAGCCAGAGCAAGTGAACTGAAGCCCAAATGTTGTCTGGGGAAAGCACCTAGTGCAAGCGTTAGGTGCAAAGCTCCACTCAGGCATCCACTGGCAGCTGCATTAAGACTGAAAGCGAAACGTCCGCGCGAAGCGTGACTTATTAACAACTTTAGATTGTCAGCATGGTCAGCCGTGATGCATTGATTGCAATCTAAGGGCCCCTTTCTAAACTGGATCCGTGCGGAGAAAGTGTGCATGCCGTGCTGGCGGGGAAAACGGTGTGCAGCACTGTCCGTCGGCACTCTGAAGGCAATCTATTTTGTAAGTCATGGAAGGCACTTTGTTGAGGAAGTCGTAGTCCATAATTGCGGAAACGAAAGACAAACAAAAACTGACATCCAGATTCCCGAAGTGCCTTTGGATTGGAAATCCAAGCGCGCTGCTTGTCATGGCCACCGTCGGTCGGAAAACAGGGTGCACGGCAGATATAGACATTCATATCATTAAACCCCTCGAGCGAGACCTTGCAAAATGTGAGACGGCGCTTGCAGACGACTGTACGCAACCGACCATCATCATGCATGAGTATGACGAGGGATGAGTACTGGACGGTTTGACTTGAAAGCTCCAATTACAAAGTAGCACACTAGAGTGCATTTCGGCGTGGGTCTAGGATGTCAGGAGAAAAAAGCAAGTAACGAATGAAATCTTCAAAAAGAATGTGGCCAAACGTCTCCACAAACCCAACAAAGAGCACATAAAGGAAGTACTCCCTCACTGTCGCATTGCGCGTTTTCGAAAACTGCAATGATGGAAAGTAATAACCGCAATTTTGGAACGTCTTTCCAGTCGCCAAATTAGTCGTATATTCCTCCCTTCCTTCGAACAGCAATTGGAAGTTCCTGCGCATAACCACGGAAAGTTGGCGTCCGAACTTCTCCTGGTTGACCATTGTTGCTTTTGAGGGAACGCTGGAAATGCGTCACTGCCGTGCACTCAAAGAGCCACTTGCATCTTTCAGGGGGGTATCAATCGGCAAAAGCTTTTTTTTACCGGAAAAAAGACTAAAGATAAAACCACTGAATCCAGAATACCGTTTTTGCGGGTCAAGGGTTCGACAACCGCCTCCCTGGACAACTTGATGAGATAGACCCACACTCGAAAGAGAATGGAGACAAGAATGATGCGCACTGGACGTTGCGCGCCGCGCTAATTCCGCTTGGGACGAGGGGGATATTGTGATACATTTACACTGGCATACTCTGACCCCTGGTTACTGCAGCCCCATCCTATTAGAAAATTCACTTTTTGGGTTTGTCCTAAACCCACTCGATTATTAATGTTGGGTCACTGCCACCGGATACTTCTGAAGATGCACGATAATGGATGCCACGTTCCAACAAGGGTTGTTTTGGACTCATTTTGATCTAAAACGTGCAGCAGGGACGAAATCTTCGCACCGTAATAGAAGTTTTTTCATCGAATTTAAACAGGAGCAGTGGTCAGCCTTCAATGTATATCGAAAACTCCAGGAATAAGAGGACCCCATCGACGGTCATTCAAATGCTTTCTCTGAGCGGTGCCATCGACGGCCTACTATTGCTGCCTGTTGGCGTGTGTTCAATCCAAGGGCCGAACATCCACTGAGCAAAGATGAGCTGAAATGGAAGGCGCTCTGAGTGATCAACAATGAATTTGTCATAAAATCGAAGAATGAAGGCGGAACTGATTTGGGTGGCACGCCAGATCAAGAAAATATAGAACCGAAGGTGAAAAGAAGTGGCGGGGAAAAAGAAGAGCGGCAAAGAGGCCGATCAACGTCCGCAGAGGATTCTGGACACTTTTCTAGGATGGTAACAAAGCAGGTCCAAGTCATATAGTGGCATCTGAGACGAAAATTCTCAACATTGAGCCCCACTCTCGCTCATACTGCCGTGCTTTTCTCATTGCCATTCGCGTTGGAGAACCAAGGGAGACATGCCTTCCCGTCAGCATCTTGTTACGGATGCTCGAAAGACGAACTTGATTGCACGGCAATCGCTTGAAAAAGAGCGACAGCCTCGAAGATCGTGCAAAGCGAACCCACAAAACGTTCCTCAACGGACAGAGGAATGCGCCATGCGCGCGCGTAAGTATGCTACTAGATCACACGGACAGCCGCATGGGCGCATATTGTGTTGCGCAACTCCGAGGTGTCAGAAATAAAAGCCAGAGAGGCATCCCAAACAGAGGAGCCCTGAAGCAGAAGGGTAGGAAATCTGATCATACGCGTCCTCATTAAATTTCGCGACGCATTTGCGAGAGAAAGTTGCAAGCTGGTGGCTTCAGAGGTGTCAGTTCCCAATGGCGCTCCCTCTTAAGTGAGCGCTGACAATGGATCATCGCCTCGCACTCTTTTGACAAACTGAGCCGTTCCGAGACGTTTGCAACCTTGAATGCAGAAAGAAAGGGACGAGGGAGTAACCGAGTTTTCATTCTTCAGAAAAAAGGATTTTCGAAATAAGAAACCTCGAAAACGGAAAACACTCGTTCGCGCCGCACGATTCAGGATTTGCTCAACTGCCTGTCAGAGATCAGAACACGTGCGACGCCGAAAGCAAAATGCAGAGCGCGTAGAAACGCGACTCTGCGTTTGGAACAATCACAGCCGTTCGAAACAAGGAAGCCAGTTTGCCCCGAAGCAAAGAATCGTTCTGGGAAGAGAAAAAGGAAATCAAGTTCTCAGCGTGTACCTGCAGCAGCAGCAGCCCCGTATCGACGCCCGGCACCCCCCCCGCGATCGCCGCCTCGAGCGCCGCGCCTTTCACCAGCTCGTCATCGTACTCCCTCCCCTTTCTCACTCTACATTTCACCCCGCCGCCGTTGCTTTTGCTCTTCCCCCTTCGCCGCCGCCTTCTTTCTTCCCCTCCTCGCCGCCGCCTTCTTTCTCCCCCCCCTCGCCGCCGCCCTCTTTCCTGCCGCCCTCGCCGCCTGCTTCTTTCTCTCCCCCCTCGCTGACGCCTTCTTTCCCCCCTCCCTCGTCCCCGCCCTCTTTGTCCCCCCCGGAGCCGTCGAAGATCTCGCGCAGCATGAACTCCAGCTTGTTGATCCGCACGCCCCCCCCCAGCAGGTGCACCTCCTGAACCTCGCGGGGTTTAAGTCGCGCGTCGGCCAGGCAGCGCGTGACCATGTCCACGCACGCGCGAAATAACCCCTCGTTCGACTCCTCGAATTCCGCCCGGGAGAGCGTCTTACCGAGCGCCGGATCCTCCGGTAAATCGACGAACTCGCTCTCGGAGAGTTGCACCATCGCCTCCCGGTACGTCTGCCACAGCCAGAAGAGGGTTTTGCGGTCGGTGGGCGCGTCCGGCGCGGGTGCGCGCGTGCGCGGGTCGGTGAGCGCGCGCGCAACCAGGTTGTTGACGAAGTCGTCCGTGCCGAAGGCCGCGCCCGCGATCGCGCGGCTCTGGGAGACGCCATCGTCGATGCTGGGGAACGGAGAGGATAGCGTATGCATTTGTGCAGCAACTTACGAAGAAGAATTAATAAAAGTCAACTATGAGTGCATCGATTTTCGAGGGCACCCGAGATCAGTAATGTGCTGAGGGCTCCGGAAGGCCGTTAGCGTTCAATAGGCTTTCAGAAGTAACTGTGCGGTGGGGGAGACAGACACTTTAGTCGGTTGCGACCAGCCAGCTTGTAGGGTGCAGTAGTTCTGCTCTGAGAATCGACGTGTACGAACTGAATGGAATCGACGCTCATCTATTTTCACTGACCCCTATGCAAGTTCAAACGGCGCTGAAGCAGCGGTGTTGCAGTAAGTTTGCGTGAAATAGTCGCTGTCGAGAAAGGTTTGGGTCGCAGAAACCTCTTCTTCTCACTCACATACAAGGCTTTTGTGAACGCGTGGTAGATGCAAAACCACTAAGTTCCGGATAAGGCTTACTTTCTGAATGCTTAACCAACTGTTCTCCCAGATAAGCTGTTTCGCTTCAGAATCGTTTGGGGTTGCAAACTTGAGAGATCGAGCGGAATAGACAATACGATGACCAACTTTTCATCAAAACGAGTGACCCGATCATTACCCTGCCGTTGACAACCGACGCGACGCGCTCTCCGCAAGGTCATGCCAACACTCAAAAACGGCACAATCTGTTTGATCGAGTGTGTATCTTTTGTTTTCAGAAAACTAGGGCCCACTTACTCATCGCAGGAGTCAAAGCGCAGAAATTCGGCAAGCTTTGTCTTGGACAGTTGTTGGAACCTATTGATCAACCCTTCTAAAAATCATATCACTCACCAGACGATGCCGACGCTGCAATACCCCGACCCCAGATGGAACACCAGCACGTTCTTCTCCTTATCCTCCGACTCCTTCTCGTCACTCTTCGGCCCCTCGGTTTCCTTCCCCCGGCCGCTCTCCTTCTGCTCTCCCGGTGCCCCGGTTCCTTTCCCCCGGTCACTCTTTCCCGCTCCTCCCGCCGCTTCCGAGCGACCGGTTCCTTTCCTCCGGGCGCTCTCCCGCTGCTTCTCCTGCGCCGCGTACAGCAGCCCGACCGCGTTCGGCTCCGCCACGATGCGCCGCACGCGCAGACCCGCGGCCGCGGCCGCGGCCGCGAGCCGCCCGCACTGGAAGCGCGTGAACGCCGCCGGCGACGTCAGCACCGCGTCGCTGACGTCGCGCCCCAGGAAGCGCTCGGCGGCGCGGCGCAGGTAGTGCAGTTGAAGGGCCAGGACTTCTTCCGCGTTCACCGACTCCCACCGGTCGCCCTTTTTGAGCGCGATCACCGGGCGGATCCCGATGCCCGGGAGCTGCACCAGGAACGGCCAGAAGCGGGCCCCCAACTGGAGGCTCTCGTCGGTGTCCACCCTGCCGACGATGCGGCGCGCTCGGTGGATCGCCCGGCCCTGCGAACGATTTTGTAAGATTTAGTGAACAGCTAACGCGTAAACGCTACGCCAAAAAGCATTTAATTAACAGGCTACGTGCATCGACAAACATGCGAACATGGCAAACAATGAAGCAGATCCTTGATTGTACGCTTCTCAAACTTTGTTTCTCGATATAAACAGAACTGAGCAGCAGCCCGTCACGTCCACGGTCTTTACCAAACAAGGACTGTACAAAGCTTTTGTTGAGACGAGGACGGATGGAAATTATTACGTGGGTAGCGCGGGGTAAGGGTGTGGAGCACGTAAACTTTTGGGTCCGAATCAGTCGATTCAAGAAGCTCGTTCTTTAATAAACTTACACAACTAGCTTCAAACCATGCAACCTACCTTACATAAACCTTGGGCTGCCAGGGGATCAGGGTGCTGACCAGTTCTTTCATCCCGCAAAACGAGAGACAGAGATGGATCTCCGTTGACTTTCTTTGCTTGGTTGAGTACTCATCTTCGTCGATGTTGACGTGTCATACTCTTCACTACATCGAAATCACCTGAGAGAGCGGTTGAAGTACTGCAGGCCAGCCGATCACGATGTTCTCCTTCAAAAGAAACCCCCACAGGCAGGTTCAAATCTTTGGGTTAGAATTTCGAGTTGACTCCCAAGCGCTGATTAGTCGCGGGTCGAGAATTACCTGCGGGAGCAGCTGGAATGCAGGCCACCCGATCAGGATGTTCTCCCCCGGGGAGTCGTCGGGGGATCCCCCAAGCCCTACGCAGGAGGGAATCTCCGTGTTGTTGTTTTCGTCTAGGGGGACGAGTTTGATCTCGCCCTCATGCCAGACCGCCACTCGACTGTAGCTCGTCCCGAGGTCGATCCCGATCGCTGGGGACAGCCTTGAGACGTCATCTTTTGCCCCGGAGGGATCCCCCGGGCGCCTCTCCTCGGTCACCGCTTGATGGAAGAAGTCCTCGGACTCCATAAGGTCTGCCATCTGTCAAGATGAAGGAGACTGTTTCAGGAAGGATTGAAGAACCTTCCTGAAAGAATCCGAAATGGATAGAATTTGGAAAAGACAAACAATGGTCAAGAGCTTTCAGTTGCTTCGGCATAGAAGTGCTGGAAAAATTTGGATCTGGACTACGTCGTGCTTTAAAAGGCTGAGGAGATAAACGTCCAATCTCTACCAGTCTTAGGCAGACCAAAGTTACTTCTACGTTGAGAAGTCTACTTTCAAAGCCATCTCGTCCTGACCAGAAAAGACTGCTGAACTCACAGAGCTTAGGGAAGGAGCACAACGGGTCAAACGAAGCTCTCGTCCATTTTCGGGCGCAGCTAAAGTTCTCACATTTTGATTAGGCGTAGGAATTGCTGAGCAAATCAGTATAGAACGAAAAAGCGGGAATCTACCAATCCTCCTCGCAGTCCTCGCAGTTTTGGTGAGCTCAATCAACACGGCAGTTCCAAATCCTTGAATCGATCATGCTCAGTCATGTTCAAATGTGGAGTTCAGCCCAGGTTGAAGCAAAGAGAAGCGGGACTGTCAATGTCAGCTCTGGGTATCGATCTAGTTATTTTGGCAGCTCCAGTGCATCGGACTGATGATGCTCAAGAGTCCAGCCAACAAAAGCAGACAGGCATGCCCTCTTCAATGACAATTCTGGATTTGCAGTTTCTTGTGCAAGTCAAGGTAACGTTTTATGGATGAACCCATTCATCCAATCCCTCCAAGCAGACCATTCATTCCAAAGATATTTGTAGCAATTGCCCGCAGTAGCTGTTGTCTCAGTCTAAGACTGTGGATTGACCTGACAGGCTGAAAAGTGCTATTGTTTTTGATCTTCCAATTGCAAATTAGGCTCTTGGGGCTGCTCATTGCCATGTTTTGGAAAGAGAGTGTTTACCTTTTGATTGGACGGTAGCCCCTCTAGGAGTCTACGGGGTTGCCTTTCAGCAGACCTCGGAATAGTTGTGCCTTAGAACAAAGTGCCTACATAACAATCTTATTGGACCCCTCATCTGCCGGAGCACTGAATTTCTGTTCTCGGGAAAAAGCACAATAGCAAGGTTGGAGGCTCCAGCACTTTTTGGCTGACAGGAAACCCCTAGGTCCCCCAATGCATGAGCAAATCTGACTCACTCTCAAACATTGCAGGCGTCGTTGTGCGAATCCAAGAGGTGGACCCCTTCAATTCTTACCTGTGCTGGAAAGGATGCTCCAGGCGCAAACTGAGCTGAAATGTCCCTCTTCTTGCTTTTGACTCCCGGTTGCTTTGTCCCCCCCAGTGAAGACTCCTGAGGAAAGCCAAGCGGTTGGTACGACGCCCCAGTTCTAAAGCTGCTGCTGAAAGAGAGTTGCTGATCAGTTCTCACGAACTGGAGGGGGAAAGCTGCGCAACTAGGAGTGGGGAACTCGGAGGAAACAAAGGGGACATCGCGCAAAAGGGGGGAGAGGAGGGGCGGGAGAAAGAGTCGGCGGCAGAGGGAACTGTTGGGGCAGTCTGCGAGGCGGTACAGTATCGGGCGCACCATGCACGAACCAAACATCGGGTCAGCTGGAGAGAGTGGCTAAGACCTGGAATCAGGGGTGTGCTTGAGCGCCGGACTAAGCATGCTAGGTGAAAAGCCTTGGAGCTTTGCGCATGCTCCTTTTCTGCTGCTCAACCTTGCCAGCTCTGTTCTCCTTCCAGCTCTGCCTAACCAGGGCCAGAGAAGCTTTTTCTGAGTGAAAATTTTCTGAGAGACTCCTCTGCGGAAATGCTGCTTCTCTCTGGAAATGCTGCAGGATATGCCTGTATCGAAGCAGACCCCAGTCGATGTCTCCCCAATTGCAGCCACCTGAAATTATGCCAGTGGCAAGCAGTTTATGCTCAAGGCCACCCCAGGGAACCCTCTCTTGAAAGACACTTTCAACTTCGATTCTTTGTCAAGCCTTGTGGAAAGCTTCCCTGTGTAGTGGAAAGCTAGCTCAGGGCACCAACCAGCTCACAACTGTACGCGCGCAGCTTCACTCTCCACGCCCTTCACGCGCGCGCAATGCGCCAGCACCCCTGTTCAGCTGCTTCCTCCCTCATGGCAGGCCATGCAAGCCACCGCCCTTTCTGAGCTCTCCCCAGTTCTTTCTTTTGGAGCCTCTTGCTTCTTGGCTCTGGTTCGCGCATGATGATTTTCGCCGGCACAAGCTTGGTAGCATATGCAGTCTGACTGGGAGTCACGTGGTTGAAGCATGCAGTAAAGGCGGCAATGATTTGCAAGCAGGGATCGGCGATCACCGGGCGAATGTACGACATCGGGACAAGCACTGCCTACTGAGTACTGATAGGCTCGGTCATGGTTGCAGGGCGCCCGCCGCTGCCCAATCCGCGTCCGCGACCGACGCAGGCAAAACTCTGTGGACTGTGCAAATCAGTCGGGAGCTGCCTAAGAATATAATAGAAAGCGCGAGTAGGTTGAATCTCTTTGAAGCAGCTAGTATAGATGTGCTGATTCTGGTAACGCAGGTGTGGATTAAGAGACGCCGTGTGACTTAAGAAAGGCACCCGGGGGATGGGTGGGGTTGGTCTGTGGTCAGAGTGGGTTGGGGTGTGGAGCGTGTGATTATTAGGTTAGGTTTTTACTCTGTTTAGTCGGCCGGGTACACGAAAAGTCACTCGCCGCATAAGTCACACTTGAATGACCACTGTTATGTGCTATCAGGTAATTGGATTCGTATTTATATATAATCTATGAAGGCAATTGGTTGCAATGCCAAGCTTACGGGGGGACGTACTTGATTTGGAAATCAACCTTGAACTTGTCTAAACAGTCCTTAATCGTTCTATAACGCTTTCCGACGGCAGGTTTCAGGTAATTATGTTTTTGTAAGCATTTGCCGCAATTGAGCAAGTCTCAGGTCCCAGTCATGTATATAAGGGAGTACTCTTTACTGATTGAGACCATACTCACGACATTCAGGCGAGTCATGCAAATGACAACTCTAGTGCGTCAACCTTCATACTCTTCATGTTCAATCCGAGCCGCTTGCTTTCCGCACATCTCAAGTTCCCTCGCCTTACTTGACATCGTTTCTGCGAATGACTAGCTACCTGCTTCTAGCCGTAGTCGTACCCCCGATTCGATCAACAGGGGGTGTCAACTTATGAGAAGACTAGTGGTTCTTGATCTCATGCCCACCAAAAGTTTCAACCGATAAGCCCGGCGAGCTTCCGAAAACTCAAATCGATCTTAGATGCCCGCTCCAAATATTGCTTCTTCAAGCCCACTAAATGATGCCGCCGTCAGGAAGGATTTGCATTTTACTTTCTGGCGACCGCGGCCCCTTGCCGCTGTATGCTGAGGACGCCCCCCCGCTTCTCGATCAACATGCGGACGCTGTTGTTCGCGTACCCTTGAGTCGTCTGCGGACTGGGCTCCCCCGGTGGTCGGACGTTACATGCGGCCTGGAATTCGAAGACGTTCAGTACAAAATAGAAGAATTGATATCGTTGGGAGGCTGCTTCTAGCGGTGTTGTCGACGTAAGGTTGTTCATCTGCTAGTACAGACTGGAACAGAATGAAGGCCGGCGACCAAAAGAATCTTCTAGGCGGTCGATTCTTGATGATCCAGATAAGCGAAAGCCTTCTGGGTGTAAGATACGTTTTCACGAAAGAACTTCCAAGCTAGCATGTGGTAAACTCAGAATGCCCAGGTGGCTTACACGAATTTGAGCAGCAGAAATCAGATACTTCTGATCACATGCGCCACACTGTGGAACTTGCTGCTGACTGCACGCTGACTGCACGACGATCCGAAGTCCCGTGAACAAAGCTGTTACAACTCACCTTCGGGCGGAATCCGCTGTAAAATGGCGTCCGCCCCTGGGAGAACTGGGTCAGGTCGTACAGGAGGGTGTCCTTGGTGGAGCTGTTCCGCGGCTGCACGGAACCAGCGGAACAAGACGGAAGCAGCTTTCAGTGACCGATTATATACGCTGAAGAGGATGTTCTGAAGTGGATCTTGAACATAGGGATCAACAAACCGGGGGAAGAAGCCGCACTGGTTCATCAACAACGAAGATCGAAGGAGCTGACCTTGCATCTGCTTCCAGGGGCGGTCGTGTCCGGATCGGCTCACTTTTAGCGATCTCAAACAACGGTTTGAGTACGACGCAGGAGCAACAAGAAGTAGACTTGTGGCTATGTGACTTTTTTGGTAGAATCTGAGGGCTCTGCTTGAGACCAACTGGTCTTGAGAGCTACCTGGATGGACTCTCCGCCTATCTTTGGAACGTGCCCACTGTAGCCGGGTATGTGGGCGGTTCCGCGAACCGTGCCCTGGACGCGAAAAACCAACGACAGAATTCTAACTCTGTTGTAGCGTAAGAAGGATCAATTTGGAGACATGTTCTTGGTAACATAGACAAGGGAGCTTTTGGATTAGATTGAATGCTTGAACCATCGCTCATCAACAGACTCAAAAGCATCGGCCAACGAGAGATTGTCACAGCAAAAATCGCGTCCAAGATGACTTTGCAAGAGGCGAGATTCATTTTCACGGTGCTGCGGGGTTTGGCGTGCCAATATAGTACTCAGACGGGCTAACGAAGGTGTTCATTACAATCTGCCGTTCCTTCGAAGACATGAGATTTGAGGGTAAGGTTGGAAGAAGCGGGCCTCGAGCTTCCTTTACCTTGTCCAGGAAGGAAGTGCCGCTTTGCGTCACGTGCTTATTCGACAAACTGCACAACAGCGACACTTTCGTTCAGACATAGAAGGAGCGATAAAGAACACAACCGACAAACGAGATTACTTTCTCGTCTCAATCGGCCTCCTCTCCGGCTCTTCAGCGCACATCCGGTGCCAGCAACTTAAATACGAGTCGAGCAAAGGCGATTCTGCAAATCACCGGGCTCGCTCAGACGCCTGCTTCTTACACGCCACGGAATCCGTAGCCTAGCTTCGCATTAGATTCCTCGTACGACTAGCTTGCTGTATGTGGTAAGACGGCAATCTAAAATTTGCGACTCGCCTGAGGCTCTCTGTAAGAGGGTCGTGTCCGGGCGTTCCGAAAACTTCCATATAATGCGTTCCGGACCGTTCATGCCCCACGGATTGCACCTGCGCGGGAACAAGGAGCAAGCTACGAGATAAGTCTGCAGGGCTTTAAGAGCTCGCCGCCATCGTATGTTCAGAATAAGAACGTTTGGTTCTCTGAGCTGTCCAAGAGGAATTCGAAACCCAGGTCGATTCAGCAGCAGGCAGACCGCAAATAATTAAAACATCTTGATCACCGAATTGCGAACCGCGTCGTTCCGTCTTATTTTTCAAGGTCAAAACGCCTCGAATCCATTAAAACGTTCTTTGTTAAACGCGGCTTGGACCACTTTGGACCCACCCTTCCGAAACTGTGTCCTTCAACATGGTTGGACTGCCCGCAGACTTGCAACTGGAGAATTAATTTTCACAAGGATCAGAAATTTGTGGGTCCGGTTCTGACCCCTGTGAGCTCTCCGTACGATGCGTGTTAGAGTACGCACCTCGTTGGGCAGCACCGTTCTTGAAGCGGCAGGTGCAGTTGCGCTCATCCGGCGGAACGAGGCGGTTCCGGTTCCGGTCCTGATGCGCTCTCCGTCCTGAGCGCATCAGTTCGGAGTTCTAGATGTTAGCGAACGAAGCAGTGCTTTCCGGTCACGCAGTTCGCTTTCTGAGAGCACGATAAATGCTGGCTGATTACTCGAACGAAGACGTGCTCGCAGAGAAACATGAATGTTCACAACACCCATAGGTTCTGCACACGCCAACCGTTCAGCGGGATCACCGGGCCCTAATTTGACAGGCATACGTTTCTCAGCGTGCCGTTGTGCAGTGGCATTCTGCTGTACGTGGTACTGTAGACGAGGGAGGTTTGCTCCTGGTTCTCGGGTCTCGATTGGGTACAGCTAGTGACGTCCGCACTGCACGTCGAGCCTCGACCGATCATAGTCCTGCAATCAACACACAACTATCGACACAGTTAGGAAAATTCAAAAGGACTCCAGTGTTACAATTGAACAGCAAGGTGAACGCACGTCCAACTTAAGCTGTCCTGAGAAATTGAAGTGAACGGGCACGCTTTTGCGACTCGCATATGTGAGATTTCCCGCGTCGGTGGCTTCTGCAACTCATAATCCTGCGAACGAAAGGATAGGGAATACTTCGAACTGATCCACATGGAGCAGATGCGCAAAAGGTCGATAGCGCCGCTTTCTTGGAGGGGGGAGGCTCACCTGTAGACTGACGCCTGGTTTGCGTACCCCCCCGGTTGGACATTGACAGCTGTCTCCCTCAGACGCGCCGTCTCCTGGAGCGTCTTACGCGCTTTTTCATACAAAGCGGGTCGGGGGGGCCGCATCTGCACCAACCAAGCTCAGTCAAAAACTAGGAGGTTCCTTTATACCCTCGTCATGAACGTGACGCACTCGAAGTGTTGACCTTGGAAACTAATTCAAACATTCCGACGTAATATCCACCGCCCACTTAGAGCCCCTTCTGCTCTGTTTCTTTTAAGGGAAACTTTTAAACGACGTCATGAAACACGGCGAAGAAAGATCCGGCGGGAGTTCAGACAATCAATTCGTTTGGACTGGTTCTAGCATGCCGAACGCCTCAAGAGCTTTCATGAGCACATCTAAATCGATGGGAGCTCGCAGCCATGATCGAGGTCGCCACCTGAGATAGCCAGACGGATGTTGCATAAAGGCCTTTTTCTGTTGGCTCCGTTTAGTGACCTAAGAAACGTTCTCAAAAACTCGAAGAGACCAGCTCACCGTGTCTCTGTAGTGCGATGTCCGGTGATCCCCCACCGTCGCTGTGGCCAGCCTCTCAAAAGTGGCACAGTCCGGGCTCTTCTCGAGTCGCTCCGTGCTTCCCTTCGTTGGGGGGGGCAGCGCGGCAAAGGCGGGACAGAAGCCCGTATACCCGGGGATGCCGATGTCTGACCGGAAGGACTTGGTGCTCTTGTTACCCCCCTGACCATAACATGTAATTTCACGACTTTAGTTGAGCCACTTTTTGATCAGATTTCTAGGCTTTTTACAGAACGGCAAAGGCTGGGCAGAATCCCGTATAGCCTGGGATGCTGATGTCTGACCGGCCCGGACTTTGTGCTCTTGTTGACCCCCTGAAAAGAGTTTGTGATTCCACGAGTTAAGGTTTGGACAAGAGCTCGGCCGCTTAAGCCTCTGAACACTTTGGCACTTAGCATTGTCAACCGGAAGCCACTGTTGCCGTTGGCAGCTTATCAATGACTTCGTGGTCCTTCTGCCAGCGTCACTCAGCTGTGAGGAGTATGCAACTGGGGGCAGCCTAGCGGTCCCATACGAGAGAACGTGCCGCGCAGAATCTAGAAGTGCTATAGGATCAGTATCAGAAGCTCTTTCCTCAACAGCGTCAAATCCTGGAAATGCTTGATGAGCCCCATACAGCTCCGGTAAACAGAAAATTCAAAGGTGTTCACTCAACTTGAAGCCAACAAAAGTGGTTGATTTCTGGTCAAGAAGCTAACCTGACGCACTCCCTTGTGCATGGTGTCGATTGGTGGGTTCACTCCTTTCCCAATAAGAGGAGGCCCGATAGCCATTTTGAACACTTGTCTAAGCGCCCGCCGCTTTCTTTATTCCAGTACTGCAAGTAGCCCACCTACGAGTACTGGAAATTTGTTGTTCTCAATGCTGGCTTGCTTACACTCTTGCTCGGAACAGAAACCCCTTACTCTTGCCCCGCTTAGTACGTTCGGAACCAAGGAGCTTTCAGCCACCGGCCCGAGGCCCCGATGCGGTTGCAAGAAGTGGACTACAAAGTTGAGTTTAATCTGACTCGTTAACAGAGAATCGGCAGCCTAATTCCTTTGCAGTAGTGTAGCGCGCATCAGGCGCAGGACTATGTCTGTTGGAATTGAAAACTAATCAAGAGTTGCTGCCAAGGCAACATCCCACACTGGTTATTAAAATGGTCACTACTGTCTGACTGGTATCAGTTCACCATTGACAGAGTCTCCTGCAAGTTTCTTTCTTCTTTCAGAGCGGGTACCCTGTGCACGCAGTGTGTTCCCTCCGAGGTTCATGACGTGGCTTATGCCCTTCTGTTGCAGAATAGCAGAACAAACTAGATAACGCAGAGGCTACTAATAGCTGCAGCATTGTACAATGCCAAGCAATGCTTCCCTGTACCCTGATTTCCAAATCAATATGCGTTATTAATGTCAATTTTATGTTTACAGCGATCTTTTTCGTGGGCAGGCTCTAATGCAGCAGGGCAAACTGTTGCAGTCGTCTCAACCTAACATAGTCTGGACGGTTCATCGTAGGGTACTTTCATAACGTGGCGCTTTTCCAAGCAACGTACCAAGATCCACCAGCTGAGTGAGTCACCTCATGAGCCCCCTCATTTATCTAAGCAGAATTTCACCAGGCGAATGAGTGGTGAAGACGCTAGACGCTACCCTGCACATCACATGCCGGCCGGCATCATTGTTGATGACCGACTCGGGGCTTCCCACTGCACAGTGTTACATAGCTAACGTACGATCGAGGGGCATTGCACCGATCCAACCGTTTCTTGATAGGTTGCTCGTTTGTAACTGCAATCTGAACCGTGCATCTTGAGCTTTGCCGAGCATTGGACGGGTGAAATTCGTCAAACAAGTGCATTGCATACAGTGTGGAGGCTTGCACTGCATGCACGATGCATCATGCATTGATGCAAAGTTGACAAGGAATATGCATCTCTAAACTCTTTTCAACAGCTCCACGAGCAGCAATTCGCGCGCCCCTTCGTCAAAGCATACGGAATGAGGACTGATGCTTTGCTGCATATTCTGTTTGGGTTGGATGATCCCTCTTGGGGCTCTTTTGCGCGCAGCATTGTGCAGGGCTGTGAAGGTCAGAGCACCTGCATTCGAATGACAAGGTTGCACATTAAGAGCGGTGCCATGAATGAAACAGAAGGACTTGGCTTCAGTTGGATGAGAGGCTGTTAGGCAGATTCCAACATGGCGGTCGGCCGAAGCAATGGCAGCCGCTGTTATTCGACTGCATTGCTGCAAAGGGTGGCGCTCCTGATCCTCCTTACAAACTCCCTGCTGGACACTTGCAACTGGCTCTTTCACCCTGAACCTGCACTGGGATCTCAGGGTGATCTGCAAGCACGGTTTAGGCCTCTGCAGGGGTTTAGGGTTACGGGAGTCGCCGCCGCGCCAGTCTCCGCCCCCAATGTCTTCTCCTGCACTGGGAGCTGCTGTCCTCCCAAGCAGTCACCAAAGCTCTGGTCCCCGCAACTACAGAGTGGCCCTGTCAGAACACGCCTCTCGTTTCAGACAGCATTTAGTGACCCCGCATATGTCAGCAAGTACAAGCTAGCTTACCAGAAGTTGAGAGAGCTGCAAGCGAGCAATGCGAGCGATCCCCGGGGGTGGCTCCAACAGGCCAATGTGCACTGCGCTTATTGCTCGAACACGTACGGGATGGACATACATCGCACATGGTTGTTCTTCCCTTGGCATCGGTGAGTTGTCTCAGTCCTGTTTCCTCCGGAAGAAATGATTAATCTTCTTTTCTTGTCTATGCTTCCTTGCTCCAATGCCCCCTTCCACAATCGGGAGTTGCCTTTCTTGGCGTTGATCAGCTGTACAACGATGTGCCTGCTCCCTTCTCTAGAGTCTGCCTGTACCAAGGTAGTGACCAATCGATGCAGTCTTTCTTTATGTCCTAGCTACCTGCATTTCGTCTTGCCTTTACTGAAGTTGAAGCTCCAGATCCGAATGCTGCTTTGGCGCACCTTCTTCAGGCATTCATCGTGCAAGTGCATCTTTTACCTGATTTCGATTGTTCCAAACCGAGTTTATTTCCTGAGGCGCGCATATACCTGCGTGTGTGGACAAGTGCTGATTTGCTGTGCAAATGCTTGAGGGCTATGCCAGTCCTGGCCTTCCGAGAGGCTTGTTCAAATAGCAAGCGCATACTGCAAGTGCAGCGCACACTCTGCAAATACCACACCTGCCTTTAGGCGACAAGCAGGCTCCTTGGAAGCTTCAAGTGGAGACCCCAAGTTTGCACTGCAGTATGGATGCAAGTTATCAGACAGTCAAGAGCATTGCAACTAGTCTGGTTGCAGATTGGATTTCTGCATCACTGACATGAGAGACCGACCGCAGCGGCGAGAAAACTCTCCATCTGATTGATTATTTACTCAGTAATCCTTGGGCAGCTCAGCGGGGAACCACAGTAATTTTACTGATTCTCTGAAAGGAACATATTCTTCGATAATGGCGAGGTGAAGCCGCTTCGAGCAGTGCAGTATGAAGAATCTTCGGACGGTCCTTTATTTCCAAAAGCGGATCCTTCGGCAGCTGAAGGATACTCCAGGTTATTCACACTGGCGTTGTGGTATTGGGACAATGTGGTGGATTGAAACGGTGTGCAAAGATCTCAGTCGGATGAATGTGTGAAGTCTCTCCAGGTGGTGCCTGTACTGAATGAGCAGATCCTGGGGCAGCTGATTGGAGACCCCACATTCACGCTGCCGCTTTAGGCGGGGATGTATGTTCGATTGGCTCAGTGTGATAATCCTCTGATCAACTGGTGTGAATATTCTCCAGGTGGTACCTGTACTTTCACGAGCGCATCCTGGGGCAGCTGATTGGAGACCCCGCATTCACACTGTCACTTCAGATAGGGATGTCATATCGATTGGATGAGTGTGAAAAAGCTCTGATTGACCAGTGTGAATATTCTCCAGGTGGTATCTGTACTTCCACGAGCGCATCCTGGAGCAGCGGTTCGGGCACCCCACACTGCCGTTTTTAGACAGGGACGTAATGTTTAAAAACCTTTTGACCAGACAAGTTCGAATACTTTTCAGGTGGTACCTTTACTTCCACGAGCGCATCCTGGGGCAACTGATTGGGGACCCCACATTCACACTGCCGTTCTGGAACTGGGACAGCGCTGCAGGGCGGGCCATCCCGGCGGCGTTTCTGGACAAGAGCAGTCCGATCTACAATGCAAATCGGAACAATCTCAACAGCCTCATGAGTCAGGTACGAATTGCTGTTGAGAAACTTCTGATCTTGTTTGAGTACAGGTTGACAGCAGTTGAGAGGACATCGGAGGCCTCTTCTTGAGGCAGCCGGAATGTGCACCTATTCGTATCAAGTGGAGCAGTCAGCTTCTTGTCGCAGATTTCTCGCAACGTTTTCCTGAAATTGTGGTTGGCGTTTCATGATCCCGCTGTTTTCTCAATCAGTCCTGCGAGCTCTCAGCACTGAACTGTGCCTCGAACCAGGTCGCCTAATATCAAGGCAGGCTTTGCAGCTTTCGTGCTTCAGCTCTCCGTGGTGGATTCTCTTCTTCAGAACGATAACACTACCTCCTTTGACATGCCCTTCTGTCTGGACCTTAGGCCTATTCTTGATTCGTCCTCATTGCGCAATAGGGTCGTCTGGTGGCAATTATTCCGCCAATCAAACGGCTTGAGTTTTTGGTACGTGCAGATCACCAGCTCATGCAGCATCCCCCAGATGCAGTCCGCGATGCTAGACGCGCAGACGACATCGCTCTTCCTTGGCAAACCCCCTGGGACCGGAAGTGCAGGTTAGTTGGTAAATCTTCTGTGCCTTCTTTCTTCTTGTGGACTCCGCGGCCGCAGTCGTTAGAGACTCCGTTTCGGCTATCTATCCTTCTTCAAGACCGCAGCGGCAGGTCAGTCGGTATGTTGAAAAGTCCTGCGTGTGAAGATCTCTCTCTTTTTCGTTGTTTCGTTGTTATTCGAAAGGACCATTGGCTTCATTGACCTTTTTCAAATGTTCGTCGTGCAAGGAAAAAAGCACACTGCATTCGCAACCTTTATAAAAGCTGGGAACTGGCAGGGTCAGGCTTGTTGCTCGAAACCGACGTCTTTCGTGTATGGTCCTATGTTCAATCTCCCTCAAACAGTTTTGTCCTCTTTGTCCGTCTCAAAACTCCATGTTAGCGACTCTCATTCACATATACATTGGTCGCACAATATTGATGAATCAACGCCGACAACATGGTATCGAGAATGCAGTGCTGAACATTCGGGTCCTTCTTACAGTATCAATCTGTAAGCTCTCCAAGCAGGTCCAGGCTCAACGTTCTGACCTTTCGTCTTGATCTGGTTTACCAACCGAACTGACTTGATTCCACAATCGCTCCTTGCATTCTTGATCAGGCCTGCTCGCGAGCGTCGGCAAAATGAGAACAGGATCTTTCCTCGAACTACCCTACGCCCAACTTTGAGGGAGCTCGTGAGGTCGGGAAGCCAACGTCGCTTTCTGTGTGCCACGTCCGGCGTCCTAACGAGGTCCTATCGGACGCCCTATCCAATACTCTCTCAGCACGCATCAATTACAGGTTCCCTTTTGCGGAGGGACGTGCCGCGGTTTTTCAGATCCAGCCGCTGATCAGACTTTCCGGACTCACTTTTGTCAGAGGGTCCTGTCGAGTTGAGAGTATGCGGCGACCGGCCTTGACTTAATTCGTCATAGATATGGAACCCCTGGAAAAGTTAGCTTATATATCTTGATTTTCAGCTCTAGCGAAGCCTTTGAAATTCTTACTTTCAGGGGGTTCCGTGGAGTTGGGAGTACACGGAGCAGTCCACGTGGCAACCGGCCTGCAGTCGAGCCCTTACATCGACATGGGGTCTCTGTCCTCTGCCGGGAAAGACGCCCTCTTCTACGCGCACCACCTGAACATCGATAGGCTATGGTGGCTCTGGCCCCAGCTGCCCCCCGCCGCGAACGGCAACCCGCGCGCGAATCCGACGAGCGCCGACTGGCTTAACTCGCAGTTTGCGTTCTACGACGAGAACGCACAGCTGACCATGTAAGTCTGTCTCAGGTTAGAGTCCAAAAAGTTTGTTTCGCAAACGCGAAGTTGTTTTTCCTTTCGTGTGGTAATCAAAAACAGCCCGCGGTTGATTATGATCTCTGCGTGAACGCGACGAGCATCGAGTAGACCAACTCGCGCACTGCGATCCTGACCGAGGACGCCCAATCCAGTTTGAAGGCTCGTCTCCTGTTGAGCACCAGGTTCCGGATGTAGACAATTGGATGCGTGTTGTGCTAGTGGTTTTCAGTACTTCGACCTATTTCCATTTCTGGGCTTTTGACAAGTGGTTGAAGATGATGGATAAAATTTGCGCTTTATTTCTCGAGGGCGGATGAGGATTGGAGGAGATCCAGTACCATGTTTTGGTACCCTCCATTTGTTGGAGAATCGATACTTTCGAAGAGCTCTGAGCTGCACTTCCTTCTCGAGTCTTCTCAGTTTAGTTCCAGACGATCAGTTGATAGAACATCGTTCCGAGCGTTCGATCCATACAGTCCAGAATTCGAGCAGATAGTTTCTCAGAACGGCGATTCCATCGATCAGGGGGAAGCCTTCCCGGCTTTTTAATTGACGGGCCAGGTCAAAAGCTGGCTGCGATTCTAGTTCCCCGCAGATTGAGCTTGTTCCAGACAGCGGTTTGTCTTTCTTGTGTTGAAAAGCTCCTTCTACGCTCTTGAGCTGAAACGCCAACGCCTAAGCACGATAATTCTGCGCGCACGAGCACCCAAAGCACTTACACACACCGGCACTCACTTTTCGCCGGCACCAGTCTGAGCGTCCTGCGCCAAAGCCGTGCAGAGTGTCGGTGAAAGACGCGGCGAACCTGGAGCAGTCCATGGGGGTCACGTACGAAGCCGTCCCAAACGACTGGTACTACGCAGCCACTCCGTCACCCTCACCGTCACCGTCCGCCGCACCGTCACTCTCGCCGTCACCATTACCGTCCCCCTCGGCATCACCGTTACCGTCCCCGTCTCCCTCCTCGTCACCCACACCGTCGCCCTCCAAGTCACCGGTGCCGTCGCAATCTGCCGCCCCGTCACCGTCCGGCTCGCCGGCGCCGTCCGCTTCACAGTCACCTCTTCCGTCACCTTCCCCGTCACGGCTCGTGTCTCCGTCACCGTCACTCGCACCGTCAGCCTCTACTTCTCCCGCCCCCTCGAACTCGCCGGCCGCTTCGGCATCTCCGATACCATCTCCTTCCAAGTCATCCAACCCCTCCCCTTCTCCGATTCCCTCCCCATCTCTCGTTCCCTCCCCCTCACCAGCAGCCTCGAGCTCCGCAAACCCCAGCCCTAGCGCCTCTGCTTCGCCTTCACCAACTCCGTCATCGTCCGCAACTCCCTCCCCTTCACATTCTGCCAATCCTTCACTTTCCAAATCACCTTCAATCTTCGCTTCCCTCGAGCCGTCCTCCTCTCCTCTTCCCTCTGCCCCGAATTCGCCCCTGCCCTCCACATCTAGTTCTCCAGCGCCCTCGGCCTCCCCATCCCCTTCAAACTCCGCTACTCCGTCCATCTCACCAGCTGTCTCCGCTTCACCCGAACCGTCCTTCTCTCCTCTTCCCTCACCCCTTCCATCCGCATCTAGTTCTCCAACGACCTCGGTCTCTCCATCTCCTTCGTCGTCTTCTGAACCATCTCCCTCAAGCTCTCCCGCTTCTTCGAACTCCCCCTCACCAATTGCCTCAGCTTCGCCTGCGGCTTCCAACTCCCCTCTTCCATCTCCTTCAAATTCACCTTTCCCTTCCACATTCACGTCTCCGGCGCCCTCGATCTCCCCTACTCCGTCGTCGTCTTCAGCCCCGTCTCCCTCCAACTCTGTGCCTCCCTCAAACTCCCCCTCGCCAATTGCCTCTCCTTCGCCTGCGGCTTCCAACTCCCCCCTTCCATCGCCCTCGACTTCACCTTTTCCTTCCACATCTAGTTCTCCCGCGCCCTCGGTTTCCCCAGCTCCTTCGAACTCTCTGCCTCCGTCAAACTCCCCCTCACCAATCGCCTCTGCTTCGCCTGCAACTTCCAACTCCCCTCTTCCCTCCACATCTAGTTCTCCCGCCCCCTCGCTTTCCCTAGCTCCTTCGTCTTCACCCGTTCCCTCGCCTTCTAACTCGCCCAATCCTTCCACTTCTCCTTCCCCAGTTCCCTCAACCTCTCCGTCACAGTTGCCGGTTCCATCTCCCTCAGGCTCACCTCTTCCAAGCCCCTCGGTATCTACTTCCCCGGCAATCTCCCTTTCTCCATACCCTTCAATCTCCGCCACCCCGTCCCCCTTCAACTCTCCCTTCCCATCTAATTCGCCCTCGCCAGTTGCTTCGTCCTCACCCGCGCAGTCAAGCTCTCCCCTTCCGTCACACTCTGCGTCACCAAAATTCAGCCCCCCGGTCTCCCCGTCTCCAAACCCCTCCCCCTCGCTCCCTCCTTCTTCTTCTTCGACACCATCCCCTTCAAGTTCTCCTGTTCCATCCCCGTCTAACATTCCCTCTCCATCAGCTGCGCCTTTCATTTCCCCTTCCCCTAGCGCTTCATCAGCACCTCCCCCTTCCGTATCTCCGCACCCCTCGGTTTCGGCTAACTCCTCCCCTAACCCTAGCCGCTCCCCTAACCCCAGCGCTTCTCCCAGTCCACGCCCCTCAAACTCGCAAACTCCGGCGCCCAGTGCTAGCGCAGTTGCCTCTCGAAGCCCCGCCCCCTCCATAAGTCCCCGAGCTTCGGTTAGCCCTAAACCCTCGGTTAGCGCCAAACCCTCGGTTAGCGCCAGACCCTCCTCAAGCCCGCGGCAGTATCCAACCCCTAAACCCTCCCCCTCGTCCACCCCAAAACCTTCCCCCTTGCCGGCAAACGCTTACCGAGACTGGCTGGTCTCGCTTTTGAGCGCCCATTACTCGCAGCAGTACGGTGTTCCTTATAAACCAGCGGAACAGGGTTACGGAAGTTACGGAAACACAGGGTACGGGAATTCTGGTTACGGGGCGGCTTACACAAATCCGTACCAAGGTTTCGGCAACCAAGGGCAAAACCAGGCATACTATCCTTTTGGGAGTTACCCAGCGGTTAGCACGGCTGGGGCGTCAAATCAGGGTTATTGGCAGAGTGCTTATGATGGGTCCCAGCAGTTAGGAGAGGCAAACGACGAGGGCAATGAAAGAGGAAACGGTGACTTTTGGGGGCGACGTGGCAGGCGACTGCTCGCCCAGGTGAGCTACGAATTCGTGGACACCTGTCCGAAACATCAATATCAAAATCTTTATCGTCAAGTCCTTATTTCCTCCTTAATGAAGGCTCAAAGTAGCTGGTTGGGAAGTGGTTTGTACCGCTCAGCATTTTCTTGTATGAAAGTCTCCTTGTAGTGGTTTGCATGTACCAGTTCAGGCCGAGTTCGGCTTGTGGACATGCTTACTGTTTTCGAGAGTGTCCATCCAAAGCGGGTGTGGGCCCTTCAGTCTTTTCTGATCCCGATCTCTTTCTTCCTCCAAAGGCTGTTTGGCTTGGCGTATAACCCTTTCAAAGAGTCTGTTTGGCATCTTTTTGCATAATGCACGCGTATTGGTTGACGGGATCAACTCCTGAAGCTCCTGCAGTGAGCCCCCGGGAACCTAGCATAGAGGTTATCAGATTGCCAGATGAAACCTCCGTTCCTCCTCCGTTCCGTTCCTCCGTTCATCTCTAATCAGAGCCACTCCGCGCATTTGCCCCGTCCTCTAAAGGCTCCTTTCCCACACAGGGAAACTCCAACCGGGACGACTCTCCAGGGCAGCCCACCAGCCGTCGCCGGCGCAACCGGGAAGACAACTACGACCCCATCCAAGTTCTCGCAAACACCCCCCCGGCACCGGTCACCCCTCTCCCGGGGCAATCCCCTGGGCGTAATTACGTCCCTTTCACCACTGGTCCGTGTGTCACGAACATCAACCGGCCGCGACGGCCTCCCAAAAAGGAGGGGAGGAAACCTGCGGCGTCCCCCAAACCGGGCGCGGTCAACCCGGTGGTTAACGACACGTCCGGGGTGGTGGAGGTGCTGGTTATCCAGGGGTTATGCGTCCCGGTCAACACGAACGTGACGTTCCAGGTGTATCTGGAACTTCCGCAAGTAAGAGAAAACGTCTGAGGCGAATCATCGCAAGGTCCCAGCAACCTTGGAGCTCTTTTCAGAATCACATGGTCTGGCCACGTGGGAGAAGTGCAAATGAATCAAACCAGACAAGTGATGAGCACGTTCCGTTTCGCACGCCTTTCAAGGTTTTTGATGGCTGAAGCGAGCAGCGTAGATGACAGTCGTTGCTGGAAACAGCGTGCAGAACTGTGAAAGAGTTGGAGGAGAGTACACATGAAGATCAGTGTATGACTTGCTTCGCCTATTCTAAAGTGCCACGTTCTGAATTGTCAAACATTCTAAGACCGCATCTTCACCGGCAATCCGCAGTTCAACGATCTTTTTCATTCAATCCGCTGATATTCAATCAATGTCCTGCTTTTACTCTGCTCTTCGTCGTGAATCTGATCCCCCGAGCGATATTTATCAATGCCAAAGCTCTTTCTTAATCGCGAAGCTAACCCCAACACTTTCCACGCAGGCCACTGCCCGCGTTTACCCTGACGACAGCCGCGTTTCCCGCTGGTACGTCGGCCAGTACGTCCACGTTCCGATGATGCCTATGGGCGGCACCGGAACGGACGGAATCGACGGAAGCGGAATGTTGGACGGTGGGATGGGCGGCATGCGGCGAAGACGGCTGCTTGGGGTGCAGGTAAGGAGGCGGTTAAAATATCAAATTGTTTTTAAGAAAAAGCTGAGTATTTTGAGAACCATTCGAGTTGTCCCCTCTTCGTGATTGCTTGTATGTCATCAGGCTATTGATCGCAAGTCTTCTCTAACGGTTATAGTTGTTGAGTGGCCTTGATTTGTGCTGTCTCCAAAATCTCGAAAGTAGCAATAGGCTTCCGTCTTGATCCATGTTACACCTCTTCCGTAGTATATTCTGTGTCGTAAAATGGCCCGCAATTGTGATGGATTATTGCCACCGGTTCGACGTGCGAACGGTGCGCTGATTTTACTGAAGGCTCTTAGAGATGCAGAAAGCTGGGGCCCATTCTACTGAGTAAGACGTCGTCGAATTGATGAAAGAGACCGCGACCTAAACAAGAAACCTGTTTGGATGATGGCTTAATTGCTTGTCGCTCGCTGCGTTGTAAATGGAAATCTCGTGAGTCCAGACACCCAGAAAGTACCCTGCATCGATGATGGGCGTTTGACGTGAGCCTATTTTCTCTTTTCTTCTGCAGGCTGCGTATTCCCAGGCAGGGGGTTCACAGCAACCATACCAGACCACCCTCAGTCAAGCCGGGGTTTCTTGGTCAGGATATCTGGAGCAAGCAGCCGGTTTGCCCCAGGGTTATGCAGCTGGTTATGCTCAAGCGAACTACGGTTCTCAGGCCGGCGGTTATCTGGCGCAGGTTGGTGGTTATCGACCGCAGACAGTGGGTTACCAGCCGCAAACCGTCGGTTACCAGCAGACTGCGAATCCTGCCTATCCGCAGACCTATGGTCAGTCCGTCCCCGGTTATCAGACTGGTTACGGAAACTTGCCCAGCGGTTACCAAGCGGGTTATCAGCCGGGTTACGGGCAGGGTTACCAGTCTGCTTATGGGCAGGTTAACCAGCAGATCTACCAGCCGGGTTATCAGCCGGGTTTCCAGCTGGGTAATCAGGCACTCGGTCAATTAAGTTATCAGTCCGGTTACCAAGCGGGTTACCAGCCTGGCTTTGAAACCGTTGTTCAGCCCGGCGTCCAGTCAGGCAACCGGTTAAGCTATCAGCCGGGTTATCAAGGCAGCGGTGCCAATTCGGGTAAACAGGGTTTCGGCCAAGCCTACTCGTCAAACTCTGCCCCGTCTAATTTCGCCCCTAAAGGCGGAAGCGCCCCCTTCGACGAAGTTCCTTCGTATCAGTCATACGTGGGGAGTCAGAAAGACGGGAGCAGTGTTGGGAACACCTACGACCGCCCGGGGTCGGCCGCTCATGAGCAGCAAACGTCGACGCCGTCAACACCGGCGGGGGTAATGAGCAGCATGGACTCGGCCGCGTGTATGCTTGAGAACGTTAGATTCTGTATCAACAGGAACGTGATGAATCTGGGTATAGTGGATGCGAGTACGTTGACCGTCGTGCTGGTGCCAGTGGCAGTTGACGAGAATGGGGAGCAAGTGCAGCCCTCAAGTCCACCTCCTGTGACGTTTGAAAACATTCTGATTGAATTCGAGTAGAATTCCGGATTGAAGCTGGGCCCGCAGTGCCGCACGCTAGCTAGGACCAACTAGACTGTCAGCTTGAATAATTTGCTTGCACGAGTAGCTGAGAGGCAGCAGAACAAAGGCATACATCGAGCCTGCGCGCGTTTTGAACACGTATCGATCAATGTAAGCTGAAAAGCGGTGCGAATGTTATTTGAGAAATGGCCTCAATTCGAAGTGCATGACATTTTACAGGCCTAGCTGTTTTTGTTCACCCAATGATCATACAGATCCGAATTAAAGCCTGAAATTCAATGGACTATTGCATCAAACTTGAACTTGTTAGACATATTACTGGAGGTGACGGTAACTTAGAAATACATCGCGTGCGCGCAGTCACCCGTCACTCGATCAAGTTAAGAGGATGTCGCGTTGCGCAATTTGTTACTACCAAAATCTGGAAGCTTATAGATGCCGCGGTCGATCACTGCCGACAATAAATCTCAAATGATATCCAGGCTAATGTCGCGGGGCTCATGCATGCCGGGTAATTTTGGAGTCAATGATCGACAGCTAGGCTCCGACGTCTCCAGCCGTTGAGAGTCACAAGCTCAGTACATGCAGTACTGCCGCACCAATACTCAGGCTGATCAACTCGAGTTGCCGAGCACGCATGATCGACGTTGTGTAGGTACGTGATATCGATTGCAATAGTGTGCGTCATGGCAATATCATCTATCAGTATTCTTAATAGAGCAATGGCCGTGATGGTCGGACGCAGCGCAGGCGCTAGCTGTATGGCTTCAATGTCCGGGTTGTCAACCGGCAAGCCTGCAGTATGGCGGCGCGCTTGCAGCCGCCTAGATGTTCGCCTTTTTCAAAACGGCAGACCGTACGTCAATATGATCACATGCCAGGATCACAATTGCACAAGTCTCCCCCTTTCTGGTTTTCGACATGTTGAAGGCCGGGGTGTTCAAGTTTTAAGTTTTGAGTATAGATAGTAAGAGCTGAGCTAGAGGACTAGAGATCCGACCAGAATTGAGTGTGAACATGTCTGAATGGCCGGGAGGCTTTGAGCCCGCCCTAATGATCCACAGTCGGACCAATGACAGGGGCAAGATGTAGGAGTGATCTGGGGAAACCCAATCTTTAGGATCGGACGGCATCAGACGGCATCGATCACGCTCGCACTCTGGCATCATTGCAATCGACCCCATCTTCCTTGCTCTCTTCAACGAATAGGCGCTGGGTTCATCATTTGAGAACATGAAGGCAGAACGGAAATCTCGTGCCGATAAGTCGATAAGTCGAGAAGTTTCATAGGGGTTTCAGATGCATGATTGAAGGTTAGCATGCCTGCATATTATAATATTATGGTACTAGCTATTGCTGCTTCATACTCAGTGACTGATAGGGTACTCGCACCTACGATTTTTCGGCCGATCTGTTCTCTTCTCTTCTCTTGTCGCGGGTTTCTTGCGAATTCTCGCCGATTCTGTCCATTCTGGCCGCAAGAAGAACTTTTTCTTGTGGCGGCCCCGTGGCGGCTTCCCTTGCCGGTTCTAGCTTGTGCGATGCATAGCTTATGCAACTCACTGTCCGCGTATGGCCGACTGTGGATGTCATCGCACTCATCGCAGCCGTCCGAAGCCTAAATCAAAGCCATCGTTAGCCGCCGGATCAGGACTGTCAGGCCGGCCAGAAAAGACCAATGGGCAGCGTACAGCCCAGTGCGGATAATCGGTCTTTTCTTGCCTTTTCTGGCCGTTATCACAGGAAAAGCGGCATGAAAAGATCCACAAGAAAAGTTGGAATCCTTCAGCTAGGGTCGAATACCCTTTGAGCAGTGAGCGCCCGCGCGCCGCCGCGCACAAACGGCTCAGGGTCAACCTTGCATGTCGGAAGTTTAAGTTCGGCCGTTGACCGGCAATTCAGCTCTGGACTTCGGAAGTTCGGAGTCC